ATTCATGCTATACGTTAAAAAAATAATTTTCTGTAAATGAATTGGAAATAGCATGGCGTACGAAGCCGGGCTAGTATCTAGAAACTAAAAATGAAATAATAAAACGAAGGAAAAAACAAACTAGTAAAAATTAAAAAAACATTTTTATAAAAAAAAAAAAATCTGTCGCACTCGGCTCAGCTGGGGTAAAGCTATAGCATAGCATCTTTTATCAACTTATGCGATTATAATTATTTAATTATGCAGTATTTTTTTCTTTGATATTTATATTTATGTTAATAAATAATAATATTTTAATAATATAATAATTAATATATATTATAATTAATAATATATAATTAATTTATATTATTTACAAAAAATGATAAGAACTACTAAGTCAGTCACTAAGCTCTGGATAGTTAAATTACAATATACTAACATTTTTAAACTTGTGATATCTTTCGAATGGAATGTCCGAATTTAATCATTCAAAAAGTTATATAAAGATATTGAAACAGTCTTAAATATAAAGTAATTTATTTTTATAAGAATTAATACCAAGATGCAAATAAAGAGCCTTTTCTAGCGGCGGCATTTCAATCAAAATTTTAAAGTAAAAGAATACTTATTGTGGCATAACTATAATAGTTAGACATATACTGTCGCAACACTTTTTATAAATAATGATGTGTTCTGCAAATTCGTAGTACATTATTTTATACAATTATCAATAGTTTTAGCAGCGCACGCGATGCAAACAATATACAATATAAACAATATTTTAGGTAATTTTTGTACACTTTACATTATTCAAGTTTTAGTAAGGATTCCTAGTTTTTTGAAAATTTAATATATCCTATGTCATCCGGGGATAATGTAGCTTCGAGACAGTGAAAGAAATTTTCAGTGGTTTAGGAGCCTATTCAATGCATAAAAACAATCAAATCTTTCCTCTTGCGTGGTAGGCGGAGCGGGTGGGGTCAGGTTTTATTTTCGTTACGGAATTTATTGATTCGTTCGCCGCGCTCAAAGCCCGCGATAAAAGCTGTGCAATAGCTTAAAAAAAATATTGTTTCATTTTTAATTTGACTCTTCCATGCTCTTCGCAGAACTGTCGCTATGTCGATCCTGGGTGGAGCAAGCCCGCGAGGCCAATTTATACCTCCGACACGAGGTTCTGGCTCCGCCTTTTGATGTTCACTCTAGGGATAGGGAAGACCACACGGAGTCGAGGTGGTCTGTGTCGGATCTTTGTGATTTTTCTTTTTTCTTTATAGTTCTCTATCATTTAATTATTTTTGTTATCTATATCGAAGTAGTAGCCTGCTAAAATTTTATCGTTTTAGGCTTTGGCATCTGAAACAACAATTGAGTTATAAGAGGTATAAATGTTGTATGTGATAACTGTGCCATAAAAATAAGTCTTTGATAATTTAAGTTGAGACCCACTACATTTTTACATAACTATTTTTTTTTTTTCGTGTTTTGCCTATTTTAAAGACGTTCTTACTTATTTTAAATTAAGTATTATTTTAGGCAGAATCCATGATCATAAAAGTTGATCAGTGCGAAACACGACAAAACAATAAACGATAAATGGGGTCATAAACGTGAAACAAAAAGTTTGCCACATAGCTGTCGTTCGAAACTTTTGAAGTACATGTTTATTACACCTATTCATTGAAACATACAAAAAAATGACCTTTTAGACATGCCTAATCTTACAATTTGCAAGTGTGCAAATTTGTTTTGTATTACTTGTATTTTTAATTATCCATACAACTTTTCTACATGTGGTGTACTTTTGGCCAACATTTGGCTGCATGGAAATAAGAATTTATAATAAAATACCAGATAGGTTCATAGGCCTCCCGGAGTATTTAAATTTAAACGAAAATTCTAAAATCTGTACACTGTCAAATTAGACATTTAAAATATTTAATCATGTCTAAGTAATGTAGAATGTTTATATTAAAAATTCATTACTTTGACTTGTGATTTACTTTGACTTATATTTATACTCTATTGACTCATAATTATAATCTAAATTTCAATTTTTTTTTATATTAACATGTTTCACAAATATTTATACACAGAATTGATGTAGAATACGTATTTCCATATTTTAAATAACTTTTTTACTGTATTCTTACACCTTCATGCCAATACATCAATTTCAAAGGTAAGGTCTCAAAAAAACTCACAAAACAAGCCCAAACTCGACACACATAGCTCATCTCGTCTGTTAGTTCCAGTAGCAGTTCTCGAAGTACACCTTCAGGTCACTCCATCTAGTCAGAAGGCAAGATCTCACCATAACTAACAAAACAAGCTCAAACTCGACACACATAGCTCATCTCGTCTGTTAGTTCCAGTAGCAGTTCTCAAAGTACACCTTCAGGTCACTCCATCTAGTCAGAAGGCAAGGTCTCACCATACCTAACAAAACAAGCCCAAACTCGACACACATAGCTCATCTCGTCTGTTAGTTCCAGTAGCAGTTCTCGAAGTACACCTTCAGGTCACTCCATCTAGTCAGAAGGCAAGATCTCACCATAACTAACAAAACAAGCTCAAACTCGACACACATAGCTCATCTCGTCTGTTAGTTCCAGTAGCAGTTCTCAAAGTACACCTTCAGGTCACTCCATCTAGTCAGAAGGCAAGGTCTCACCATACCTAACAAAACAAGCCCAAACTCGACACACATAGCTCATCTCGTCTGTTAGTTCCAGTAGCAGTTCTCGAAGTACACCTTCAGGTCACTCCATCTAGTCAGAAGGCAAGATCTCACCATATCTAATAAAACAAGCCCAAACTCGACACACATAGCTCATCTCGTCTGTTAGTTCCAGTAGCAGTTCTCAAAGTACACCTTCAGGTCACTCCATCTAGTCAGAAGGCAAGGTCTCACCATACCTAACAAAACAAGCCCAAACTCGACACACATAGCTCATCTCGTCTGTTAGTTCCAGTAGCAGTTCTCAAAGTACACCTTCAGGTCACTCCATCTAGTCAGAAGGCAAGGTCTCACCATATCTAATAAAACAAGCCCAAATTCGACACACATAGCTCATCTCGTTTGTTAGTTCCAGTAGCAGTTCTCAAAGTACACCTTCAGGTCACTCCATCTAGTCAGAAGGCAAGATCTCACCATACCTAACAAAACAAGCCCAAACCCGACACACATAGCTCATCTCGTCTGTTAGTTCCAGTAGCAGTTCTCAAAGTACACCTTCAGGTCACTCCAACAAATCAGAAGGCAAGGTCTCACCATACCTAACAAAACAAGCCCAAACTCGACACACATAACTCATCTCGTCTGTTAGTTCCAGTAGCAGTTCTCAAAGTACACCTTCAGGTCACTCCATCAAGTCAGAAGGCAAGATCTCACCATACCTAACAAAACAAGCCCAAACTCGACACACATAGCTCATCTCGTCTGTTAGTTCCAGTAGCAGTTCTCAAAGTACACCTTCAGGTCACTCCATCAAGTCAGAAGGCAAGATCTCACCATACCTAACAAAACAAGCCCAAACTCGACACACATAGCTCATCTCGTCTGTTAGTTCCAGTAGCAGTTTCTCAAAGTACACCTTCAGGTCACTCCAACAAATCAGAAGGCAAGGTCTCACCATACCTAACAAAACAAGCCCAAACTCGACACACATAGCTCATCTCGTCTGTTAGTTCCAGTAGCAGTTCTCGAAGTACACCTTCAGGTCACTCCATCAAGTCCGTAACGAAATATGAATTTTTAACCCCTACTAATTTCTAGTAAAAATATGACAAAGTGTGAATTATAGTTTACTTTTGTCGTTCGTAGTCCGAAGTCCGAACATGATGTGTAAAGTATCAACTTTGTTACGACAAATATTTTGTATTCGTACAGCGATCTTTTTCCTCACGAGCTGCTGTTTATAAGCGACATAGTGACCACTCATGACGGCAGCCGAGCGCCGACTAATATTTCTTTAAATGTTTTTGTGGAATAAATCAAAAAAGTGACCAGTAAAATAACCTTTATGTCAATCACTTAAGATTCACGCGTAAGATATAAATGTGAAAGAAATAGATTTTAATCTTTATTTTTTTCTGAAACTAATTTCAACAATTTTGATACGTAATGTAGCTACCTTTTTGAGTTGAACATGTGTACTTACATAAAATATTTTTAAATAAAAAAAATATGTTATTAAATAAGAGAAAAATGTTCCTAAACCCAACAGGATATCGTCCATTTTGAGTGAAGTGGTCACGAAAATTCTCATTTACAATATTATAAACCAAAATTTTCGATTAAAAACTATCATCCAGTTGAAGATGAAGGAGGGATCTATATGTGATAATTATTACTTACATTATATTCGTTTCGTTTTGCCGCAAAATGTACCTGAAAACTCCCTATTTTTGCAGATTCCGCGAGATTTCGCAAACACGCCCTTAAAATAAAGCAAAAAGAAAAGAGAAAAGAGGATAGAGGAAAGGACAATCATTCTGACGACGATGACATGAAGGAAATTGTAAGGAAGATTAATGAAGACTATCCATTAACTAATATGTCTGATAAAGCGAATATGCCAATAGCTCTAAACAACACAAATGGTACATTTAAAAACTCCATAAATCTTTTAAAAAATATAGACCTAAGCTTATCTTCTTTCACCGACAAAGTAGTTAGTCCAGTGTTAATGGTACACACGAAAATGAATAAAAGAATAGAACCAATTTTCAAGATCAGCGACGTACACTTTAATTCCCATATACATATTGTGCTGAAAAATATGTCGATTGTTCAACCTATGATGTTGCAGACAATATCTTGGTTCTGCATCTTGCGTGGTTATAGCACATTTATGATAAGTCCACTTGGCAGTGGTAAGACTATGGGTTATTTGCCAGCTGTATGTCGTTTAGTGTCCGACACTTGCCCAGATGACAATGCAAGTGTTGGCCCAAGGTGTATTATTATTTGTGCTACGGTTAAATCAGTGGCAGAAGTTGAAAAGATGGCAAGGATGTTCTTAGGTGTTAAGGAAAAGGTGCTGTCTTGTTTTGCTGGTGTTGAGGAAAACTTTGTCACTACTTCCCTACTCAATGGCTGTGACCTACTAATATGCACAGCATCATTCTTAGTGAGGTTACTGCAGATTACAGATTTTGGTGTTGACATGAGACGCCTTGCTACTGTTGTCTTGGACGATTGCGAGAGATTAGCGGAAGTGTACGGCACCGAAGTGAAATACATCCTGTATAGAATCAAAGACTCGATAAAAAATCGCACCAATAAAGAGCTTAAAATACAATACATTATCGCTTCGAGAAAATGGTGTGATTTTATGGAACCCATTGCGAAGAGAGCACCGTATTCTGTTGTCTGTATAGGCGCTCTCCAGGAGTGTGTACTTTACTCCAAGGCGAATATGTCTGTCAATTTCGTCCATCAGGAGAACAAAGTGGATTCAGTCCACAAGTTTCTCACTGAACTTGATTTAACCAAGAAAATTGTAATAGTTTGCAGAAACGACGAGGAGGTGAATACATTGAGGAAAGCACTTGGCAAATATAACAATCCTGTTTTCGCTTGCGATAGCAGTTTGAATATTCAAAATTTATTCAGCCTAAGTGTTGCCTGGGACGATTATGAAGATCCCTTACTGGGCCCTGTATTATTGTGTTGCGATGATACCCTCACCCATTTGAAAGTTACGGACGCGCATTACTTGTTACATTATTCTCTACCCCATCTTTTTTCTGCATTCTGTAAAAGGTTTTCCGTACTAAACGACAATTATTCATCCATATTTAAAGACGGCAGTTGTAACATTAAAATAAAGATATTATTAGAACAAGGCAACGTACAACAGTTGCCCAAAATGATAAACTTTATAAAACGATGCACGGACAGTATTCCGGAAAGTTTAAACAAGATTTCCGATAACGTTTTGGCTGAAAAAGATAAGCTAAAGGCGTCAAAATTAGTCCCTATTTGTGATAACTTACTGGGTCTCGGATATTGCGCAGACTTCTGGAATTGTCTATCTAGGCATACTGTGTTTAAAGAATACGATGAAAGTAAAGAATGGGTTCCAAAAACTGGCCAAATTACATTTAAAATCCTGCACTACCACAGCGCTGTTTTATTTTCTGTAAGATTACTGTCGAATACAGTGGACGGCAGAGAACGTAAATTTCCCCAGACGTATAGTATACTCTCGTTAAAAATGGGAATGTTTTACGGTAAGGAATCAAACCGGAAACCGCATGGGATTCCGAAAGTGGGTGATATTTGTGCCGTTTCCGTGAAGCAGAATTTTTTTGTGAGGTGTCAAGTAATAAAAATTTTAAGTTATTATCAAAGAGGTAATCCGAATAGTGTATTAGTTAAGCTCATCGACGAAGAGGTGTTGGAAAGCACGAGAGATATTTATTTGTATCACTTACCGGAGGAGTTGAAAAGTATCGAAACGCACGCAATTCAAGTGAGACTGGCTAATATAGAGCCGAAAGATAAGGATGTCACTTTCTCAAATCTTGCAAGAGACCAATTAAAAAAGATAACTGATAGCCATGAAGACGTGTTTATTAGAGGGCAGGCAATTATGACCATAGGAAACTGTGTTTTTGTTGATACACTTGAAGCGTGTCAAGAGTTGTCATCTTTAAATAAAATCGTCATGAAGCATGATTTTAAGCGTGATTTGTTGGAAAAACATGCCGCCGTTAATATGAAACACATGACTAATTTAAAGAAACTGTGTGAAGGTAAAATTGACATTGTAGATGAACAAGCACATAACGATCTTGAGGATGAACTTTCAAAACAATCTACAAATATCTTGCCTAGTGGTACTTGGGCACATTTAAACAGTGACGATATATCATTAGTGTTTTTCGCATCGGCTATTAGTCCCCATAAATTTTTTGTGCGCCTACAAAAATTCGAACCTTGTTTGACTCTTTTGATTAAAGACATTCAGAAGTATGTCACAGAGAATCCCGAACCTTTAAAGGATGTAACGGAGAATGATATAGTATTAGCCATGTTTCCTGATGATGAGATGTTCGAGCGGGCACGGATCGAAACTGTGATTGATGAAAACAAAGTACGATGCTTCTTCGTTGATCAAGGCGATTGGAGAGATGTATACTATCAGAACTTAGTACCGATAAAAGAAGAATTTATCATGAAATTGCCATTCCAAGCCATTGAGTGCCGACTAGTAGGCGTAAACCCGGCTGGGTATGAATGGACCGACTTCAGTACAAATTGGTTTTGTGATAAATGTTACGATAACACCAACGATGGATTGAAACACCTATATGTTAAATACTATTACAAAGAGAAGGCGGAGTGTACTGGTGGCTATAAATATGGCATAGTAATGATTGATACGAATAGCGATGTAGATGTTATTATAAATCAGCTACTGATCGATAATAATTTGGCACAGGAAAATATTAATGAGATACAATATCTAAACGAATTCCGTGACAATCATCCTGTTAACTGCAAATCGAATAGCAGTGAATCTGGCAATGAAGACAATGATAAAAAAGAACATTTCGCAAAATGCACTAAACGTGAAGTTGTCGAATCATGTACGTCGTCATTACAAACTCTTTTTACAAAACCCATTAGATCTGTACCATTGGTTGATTCCGATGGCGAGGACTCGGATGGTTCAGAGAGATGGTATATAAATATGACGGATGATTTATTAAAAGTGTTCAAACCCGCTACAACGTCAACGTTTAATTCAAATTTGCAGACAGTAGCTATGGGTAAGGTAAATACTGATCCTAATGGTAAAGCTGAAGAAATGCGGCCGGTTATTTTCCCAAAAATGTTGTTGCAGCCTAAATGTGAAGTAAAAGAACTAGATTCAGATGATTATACGTCACCAGAATGTTCAGAGTCCGTGACTGCGTCAGAAAAGCAGATTAAAACCGCTTGCGATCTAGACAAAACAAGGAAACCGAAGCTTATATGGCGACAAAATCGAAATTTAGTCGTCATAAGAATTAACTTGATTGGTCTGCAGAAGTACAATTTAACAATTCAAGGGAGATCTTTAACCTTCGCGGCAACTTTAAGCGATGTGGATTATGCTTTTGATTTGGAATTGTATGGTGCTACAGATGTCAGTAAATCGTCGCACTGTAACAAAGGGCAATACGTGCTTGTTAAATTGAGTAAGATTTTAAATAAGAATTGGTTAACATTAACAAAGGATGGTGGGATCAGAAAGTGGATAGTGTACGACGTCGACTCGATCGATGTTTCATCCGATGTAGAAGCTGTAGAAGAGCAGAACAATATCACTGTGCTAAATGCTATTAAAAACATTCACAATCAAGATGAAACTGAAAGTGAAGACGATGATTTTATAGATGACATTAGTTACAGACAAGCTAAATATACAGTCAGGTATCACAAATGAGTACGCTCAGTTTAATTATTTCTAATATCTGTCTTAGTTAAACAATTGTAGAAACGTGTTGTTAATTTCGACAATAACTTTAGTAATGTAAGTTTTAAGTTAGTCTTATCAAAAAAAAAAAAATATTTTGAAAAATCGAAAACACCAAAAAAAGCCCACAAATTATTTTTGTTTCAATTTAAACGGCCAATTATTATTTTCAACTTTAAGCAAACTCCTATTGGGGGATAAAATAGAATATTGCAATGAAGACGTTTAACAAAAACAAATTACAGACAGATAGCCATATTCAAAACAGTCGCTTGTACATACAAATACTATTGTACAAATCACACTAACGATTAGTTATACCGAAGCCTAGCTTAGAAAATGTGTCTTAGGAGCTATATATTGTTTTAGCGGCGTAGCCTAGCAGCAAATGAATCTATTGGATCTTTTACCAAATGATTTATGGGTTAGTCATATTTATATTAGATGTTTAATCTTCTGGTGTCATTGCCGTATCATTTAAATAAAAAGACCTTCCATTCCGTGCTAACGAATAATTGAAGAACGTTGGTATTTACATTACCTATGTTATGTGTTTGTTTTGTGATATACTAAGATCTCTATTAATATTAATTGCGTATGATTAACAGAGAAAAACTTTGTTCCGATGGGTTCTTACTTTTTTCGGACTCTTGTTGAAAGTTGCGCGTGTGTGTGTAACGGTGATTTATTTTTTTATTTTGCTTTGTAACATTTGCAATTGTATTGATTGATTGATAACATTTAGTGTATTAATTACGATAATTTGCCATTAAAATGGTGTTTTTAAACTGCAAAAATATTGTGCATGAGGTTCCGTGATAGGTTTATCTTAACACAGTACTTTTACTCATATTCATATATCTTTATTCAATGTATTGAATGAAGAAGCATTACACTTACTTATTGATTGTCAAAAAACACTACTATTGGTTTGGAAAAAAGCCACTAAGCCACCTGCGAAAGAAACTCAGCCGAACGACAGTAGCGGTTTCTACCGCTCTATTATAACTTATTAAATGTATTATGTAATTATTCTACTGAATGACTTGATGCTGATAGATTGGAAATGTCGTCTTGCCAGTTTACGATTAATCCTTTTCAGCACTTAGTACTTAAACGCAAACTCTTAGTGTGGTACGGTTATGTTGATGCACGAATAGGCAGACGTGGCCGGGGAAGTGACAGAAGACAGGCGTGAAGTGGAAATATTAAACGTTTTCAAGCCCTCTGGTTGAGATGTTCATAGGCGGCGGTATTCACCTAGCGTCAGGGGAACTGCCTGCTTGCTTGTACATAAAAATAAACCCTTTTCGTAGACGTCATAGCCTTAGGCTATACTCAAGCATTTATTAATTTATTAAGGCATCATTATATCATCTTAAAGTCTACACCGGGCAACTGGGCGGAATAGCCTTATGGCATTCTCTACCAGTCAACCCTTGTTATTGTAAAAAATAAAATTTTTATTTTTCATTTGGAAAGTAATGATATATTTTTTCAAATTATTTGTTTTATGTATAGGTTGTGAGTGACAAAATATTAAGAGTAATTTCTATTAGATAGTATACGAATACATTTTTATTAATTTTATAGCTCAGGGTTATTATGGTTTAATTTTTGAACTCTGCGCCATAAAAGCAGTTCTATTAAATAATCTGGAAAATAATTTATTTTACCACTAAACATTTTTTTTTGTAATCCACGTTTTGTTTGTGTTAAAGTATTTTATATTTCAGAAAACTTTCCATAACCTGGCTGTGGTTATATCTCGGAAGTTTTAAAAATATTTTAGCTTTGTAAAATGCTGTCGTATACGTTGAAATGAGCACTATTGTTGCCAAATATAAATGCCAAGTACTTTTGAAACATTTAATTTTTGGAACTAATAAGTTACGTAATTTATTTTATTTTCTTTTTGGTCAGCGATTTTTTTTTTATTGAGAGTTCAATCCTTTTTTTTAAATCTTTATAAAATAATGTTTATTCTTAAATAAAAACGAAATTTTTAATCAAAACGCAACTGGCGTTTACCTGTTACCAATCTTATTTTCTTCTAGGTAGAAATACATCGTGAAATTTTCTTTTCGTATTATTTATATCTAATCGTATATACTATCGTCTAGATTATTTATTGAAAACTTAAGATTGAAAACTTACATTTAGTCAGATTGGTGAAATGCAGATGATGGTAAACGTGGAGAGTATAAGTAATTAATGTACACTGTTATGTTATATAGTAATTAATGTATTAATGTTAACTTACTGTACACATAAGAAATATTTATGATGAGCTCAATAACTGAGTAATACTGTTTTATTCATTGAATTTTAATTGTAAGTTTCAAGGACTAGAGTTTTTGTGTATTGTTAGTTTTGGCTAATAATTAGTACTTGTCGCTATGGAAAAGGTATTGTTTTCTAGTCATCCGCAGTTATCAATAGCTACTAATCGTAATTCAGCATTTTCACCTAAAATTTAAAATATTTTAACGGATAAATATTACATAGGGTATTGTAACACTAAACGCTCACAACGATCGATATATCCCTTCAGCAGTTCCACATGACGATTACGGTCGTTTTGGTCGTGTGCTTGGACTTTTTAATCAAAAGTAAATTACATCAAAGTCAAAAGATCTTTATTCAATATAGGCTTAACTTAAGCTCTTATTGAACGTCAAAATAAAAACCACCATCATTACTTTTGCTCACGCCGAGCTCACAATTAATGTTTAACCACTTATTTCAAATGGATCGCCATTTGAAATAAGTGTTTAAACATTAAATTGCTCCACGGTCTCATTCCACTTGAGTTTTCGACAGTAAGTGGAATGGGAAGAACAGTGTTCGTGAGCGTGATCATTTTGAGCGCTTTGTGCAACGCATCCTTAGTAAGCTCTAGTAATGTTATCATGTTATTAAAACCTCGGAGCAATTATCAAGCGGTTTGGTGATTGTTCTAAGGTTAAACAAATTTTCGTAAGTTGCAATAAATTGTCCCACAGTTTCAATATGTGAAAACAAATAGGTTCGAAGTAGAAGTTTCGCACAGATTTTTCGTCACTTGTTATATCTAGATTAGGTTTCTGATAAACATAAGAATAAATGACTTTAAATTAAGCATTCGTTTTCTCATTACATTACCCATTGTGAATGTGTGATTGCCCAAAAACAAAAGAAAAAGTGCAAAAAACGCTTCATGGATTGTCATAACTTTTTCTTTGTTAATATATTCTAAAAAATACGAGGACGATAACCTGATGACGATAGACAGATGACGTCACACAGGCCTAAAAAAAGAACATTGGGTGTGGAACTTTTAAATTGTTTAAAATTTAATTCTCTGCCTAATGCGAAACAATCCCTCTTACTTAAATGCCTATTCCAATTTATTAAATCTATACTCCTTATTTTATTTTATCAAAACTTATTTAATTAAATATGTGTTAATTTTATGCCCTGTAAAATCACAATTTGTCTATAAAAGCACTCGTCTAACCCCTCTTTGTAGGTTGGGATTTGTTGGTATTTTTACTTATGTGATTTTGTGTAGGTAGTATAGGATAACTTCAGAAGTATAGGTTTTAAACATTGAATTAAGTAGTCCTTAACTTCTTCTTATAATTTTATTACAATATTTCGCTAATTACATGTCTTTTCTTTCCGACGACCGTGCCAAGAGAGAGCATCTGTTCCTTGTACCGCTGTTGGCAGTACCCGGAACGCATCATTCACACGTCTTAATTCTTATTGTGTTACGAGTACTGTTTTTAAAATACATAATGAATTAGTTTAATATTTCTTACAATATTTGTGACAATTAATTACAGCTTTAGTTAAGTCTTTATGAAAAATAAATTAAATATCGGATCTTAATTTACATTTCAATGTTGCCATATTTCCAAGATATAATGTCGCTATTTTACAAAAGTTTTATCGAACATAAATTTATAATTAATCGAAAATATTATAATCGTTTACAAAGTAAGACTAATTTTCTAGTCAATATAAAATATAAACGCATAAATAGGGTAACAGTAGGTAATATAATATTCTTGGAGAATGCCCTTTTATCCTATAATGCAACGTTTTAGGAGATTCTGCAATTTAATTCCTATGTCCATATAACCGAAAATTCGAATATTATTATTAGTTCAACACAGCTTTTAATGTTCTCTGAATAATACAGTAGTCAGAGAATATGAAAATACGGAACCTGCTATTTTACTTAAATAATGTCATAATTCAACTTAGGAATAGAATTTCCTGAAATCTACCTATATAGCCTCAGGACGTTTTGGTAATATACTTGTTGCAATAATCTTCATATTCAAATTTATTTATTCAATATAGAAGCATTACACTTGTTAAACCGGCGAAAGGAACAGAGGGACATTTTTTTTAACTTAATTTGACGAAGAAATTAAAATGCGATACATTTTCAAATACAAGATAAAATTACGCTGTCTCAGAAATAGGATTTATGTTCATTGGACGTTCCGTTTAATTTATTGTGACAGCCAAGCAAATTTTTGGTTTTAATATTCGCACCGCCACTGTTTTTTTTAGTGGTTCATGTATGCGCTTTCACCTTTCAGTTAACGACTATATAAAGCTTCATCGGGCATAAAAGTCATGAAATGAGTATGATTTCTCCAGTTCGATACACCCTACCATGGTTAAGGTTTATAAGTAAGGACAATAAAACTCAAATAAAGACAACAAATATTTAATGATTAATCTAAGATTAACAATAATACCAAAGATGCATTTGGTCAATACAATTCATGTTCTTTCGCCCACTTATGCAGCAATTTTAATAAATAGTATTTATTCGTCTTGGAAAGCATTGATTTTATTAACCGACTTCAAAAAAGGAGGTTTCACAATTCGACCGTATGTATATATATTTTTTTATGCGTATTCGGGGATACCTTCGTCATTTATGAACCGATTTTGATGATTCTTTTTTTGTTGGAAAGGAGATATCCCAAGGGTGGTACGATGATAAGGAAACCCATATCTGATGATGGCATCTTAGATAAATCGAGGGCAATCCTCAAATGTTATAGGCGTTCATAATGTTTTATTACTTTCCTGTTTGAAGTCGGTTTTTTTTGTTGAAAATTATGTCGATGTGTTCATATGTAGCAAGCCATTGAATTACGTTGAATTAACTTAAGGTTTTAAAAGATGTAAAAAATAAAATATATTTTAACCTTAGCTTTTACAATATACTTTTATATGCAATAATTATATTGACCAATGTTATAAGCCTTATTGCTTACGCAAAGATTAATACAAAGGGGCTGTCCATTATTCACGTGAGGTTCGAGAGGGTGAGGGGGGAAGGGGGGTTTGGAAAAAATCACGAAAATCACAATTTTTTCGTCAAACTGAAAAGCAATGTGACCTTGACTGGAAGTTACATTAGTCCTTAATTTTAGAATAAAAACGTATTTAAAGAAAAGATTCTTTGTAGGTACTGAAAATATACGTGATTTTGGGTGGTTAGACTTAAATCTCACTACGTATCAACAGGGGGAGGAGGAGGGGAGGGTTGAAATTGCTAAAAAAAAAAATCACGTGATTAATGGACGGCCCCAAACCCGCAAATGCAGCCAGCAGCGGCAGCATTTAAATAAATTAAATTTACAAGAGCATACTACAAATATAACATTAAAGCAAATATCACCCATAGGCGATAAACTATAGAAAAAAGTAACATTTTTAAACTTTGATAACATATACATTATAACATTTATAATTGAGATAAATTCCAAACTAAATACAAAAAATAATACTGTGTTGTTACAGTAACTGTTATAGTAAATCATTAATTAATTACCTATTTGAAGTTCACAAGTTTCGAATAAGCCGGGATGAAGTAAACATAGAAATCTTCGAATAACTATATAGATAAATAATTTAATTCCAAATGTACATTTGCCTTGCAGTGGGACATATACCGGCTGTTACCTTACGCCCACTTGCCAATGGAAATTATGCTGAACTTTAAAGTCTAGTAAATGTCACTAAATAACTCGTAAACTAATTTCACACGAATCTCGTACGTAAACGCAGCAGTAGGTTAACATAGAGTTTTCAGGAGGCCATATGGTTAAATTTAACAATTTAGTTAGTTTAATTAAACAGGATAGTGTTGTGAAAACCAATTATGGCGGATTTAAACTTATGGAACATTTTTTGAACGATAGAGAACATTCGGATATAAACAACTTTAAAAGTTTAGTTGATTCGTCAGTTGTTATTCAGGGTCAAAAAGATTTTTCAGATAAGCTTTTTATTTTTTATACTGATAATAATCTATTTGTACACGGTTAATAATTAATCAGTTGTAGCGAGTATAAAGATGGAATGTTCATTTGTTGAGGGGAAAATTTAGTGATAAAAGTAGCAGTAAATGCTGGAAGATAGCGTTTTAATTCCGATAATCACACACAGGCTAATAGGTGTTTAGTAAATTCAGTGATTCAGTTTTGGGACTGAATTATTATAAAACTTTTATGATAATTAATTACTTTGGGATTTTTCGGTAAATCAAACATGTGAAAAAGTTAGTCTTGATAAAGGACGACATTCTGCATCCGAGATAGTTAACATAAATGTATGTATATATCCGAAACATTAGTAACATGTATATTGTTTTATCTTGTGTGTGACGATGTTTTACAACATCTAGTGATTGAACATATTATGTGCTAACTGTGAGACTGCGTTGTGTTGAATGGTGTTATGCAATATGGGCACATAACAGAGTAACTTTTTTAACTTTTAACTTTTTTTTAAGTAACTTTTTAACTTTCGTTTAAAGGTAAAAAAATCCTATAGGCTTTACGTCAGAATTTTGTAATTTTTATTTAATACGTTGTATATAATGTTGTAATATAAAAAAATGGGTGCGTGTACTTATTTACGCGCGTGAGAAGTTATACTTCTTTAATTAAAATTAATAAAAATAAAATAATAAAAATACTGGAAAAGGATATAAATATTAAAAATAATAAAATTATGTAAGCGCTATCTACATTCTTTATTGAGAACTGTAACGGGCTAATGTGATTGAGAATATGCTGCCATCTATAATAAGCGGATTAGCGAGCAGCTTCAAAGGTGTTACAGCATCTTAAAATTTCTCACTCTCATAATTTTTCCATAACGCACCTAAAGAAGTATAACTTCAATAATTAGATTAATAAATATGAGCGACGAATTGGGTTACAGGGACCGGAAAACGTTTTGAAAAAATATGACTGGGCAGTTGTTAAGCCAATGCGATTGGCTGCACCAAAGCGCCTTCTCTGGTACTTAGTCTTTTCAAGCGTATCTCGTTGTTACGCCTTTTTTGACTGTTCAAACAGGCCGTTGGTTTTCAATATTCAGTCTACAAATAGATTTGGTTACTGTAGATAAATTCTAGATTTTGACGTAAGCATTATGGAGCCAATGTTAAATAACTGTCGCTAGAGACCGAATCCACCTGTAGATAGAATATCGAAAACGACCGTTGGGACAGTCACTGCTGTCCGTTCTGCCGCGTCTTTTGTAACTGCCGCGCGATAGTGCGCACTCTAGCGTAAGGATGTCGAAAAAATATTGATATATCGATATGTCGATATTTTTGATTTTAAATATCGATACTTTCATTCGGATCCGATATATATAGATATAAGATATTCAATATCGAAAGTCGTATCGAAACGATATCTTCGAAAAACAGAAACCGGCACAGAAACCTTTGGTGTTAAAACATTTATTAGTCTGTAGTTGTGTGTGTTTCATGGATAATGGGGTTTCCAGAAAAATATTTACATATCGATATATCGATACTTAAAATATCGATACATCGATACACTCCTAGGCCGCCGACATCCCTACCGCGGCGGTGACGTCTCTCGCCGGCGGTCTCAGACGTTGAATCTCGTCTCGGAGCCGTCGGCCAGCATGAGCGTGACGGTGCGCGAGTTGTTCCACACGAGGCGCGCGAGGCGGGCGGGGTTGAGCCGCGCCACGTCCGCCATGGGCGCAGTGCTGTAGCACTTCACGCAGCGGGTCTGCGCCGCGCCCAGCCCGAACATGCCTGCCGGGCGACCGTTCGATTGTATGGATGACGCGTGTTTGGACATTGTTACGCTTACATTATACGACATCAGGGCCGGATTTGGGGGAGGACAACCGTGTATAATATATTTATTGCTCTTTTATTTGAAGCTAGCAAACGAGCCGACGGCTCACCTGATGTTAAGTAATTACCGCCGCTCATTGATATTAGCAACACCTGTAGAGAGTTGCAGATGCGCTTCCATCTTCTCATAAAGTTAATCGCATCGCCACTTACCATCAGGTGCGATGGCAGTCAATTGCAGGCCAGTTTTGAATTAAAAAAAAAAAGTGGGCCCCGGCTACCTCACTCACTATAGAAGGCGTAGAACTGTAACACTTTTGTTCGTCGTGGCACTTACCCGGTTGAACAGTATCATTTTCACAGTTACATAAATAGACAATCCAGACCAGCCTGGATCCGCTCGTACTCATATAATAATACTCCATTATTCCTCACATGATACGGTTATGTGGGGTTCGTACCCGCTTAAACTCCCTAGGTGTCCACCTTATTTATGTTTGGATCCTACAGAACGCACCGGAGTCCCTCGGTACTGCTCACTAGCACGCGGATATGGATGAACCTTCGCCGATTTCACCAACTTGCAACAGCTCGAGACTTCTTACTGTTGCCAGTCCGTGTTCCCTTGTAGCCGTGTTTAAGACAGGCAGGGGATACATAAGCCCTATTCTATCAGCCCGAGACTACTGGGCTGGTGCGGTAACTGATTTAACAGACATAGTCCACGCGGCATGTTGCCGAGAACGCTGGCCGCATTTCCTCGCTGTATGGTAAGCGAGTAAGGGGACACGCCCCTTTACGGCAGGCAGGGGGTACCTTGGCCCCGTTCTACGAGCCCGGGATTGAGGGCTCCACGGCGCCACGTACCGGCGGTGCTCTGCCAGAAGGAGAGGCGGTTGTCGGCCGTGGCGTAGGAGACGAGGTAGCGGCCGTCGGGGCTGAAGGCGCACGCCGTCACGGGCCCGCCGTGCGCCGCCAGCGACTGGCAGCGCCCGGCGCGCAGCTCGTACAGCGCCAGCTGCCCCGTGTGGCTGCCGACTGCGCGCCAGTCGAGTCATAGTCATACAGGCTGATTTTATATAGGGCGGACATATTTGCGGAGCACTCGCGAAATTGTGTGACCTCATTTATTTATTTTTTTCAAAAATTTTTTTACTAACTTCATGGACACCCTAATGTTAGAAATTCCCGCCTTACCGTCTCAGTACAATAAGCTGTTCACGAGCACTAAAACTGTTCGTGAACGCATAATCACTAAACCACTTTAACGGGATCAGCAAACAATTTTCAGGTGTCCATGGGCGGCGGTGATCACTTACCATCAGGTGAGCCGCCTGCTCGTTTGCCGCTTTTTTTGCCCATAAAAAAAATGTTTGAATTGATATTTTTCTGGTTATTTCTTGTCAAAATAAAATATTTATATTTTTTTTCAATCATGGAATGCTCAATTAACATTATGTCAAAGTATTTACTTCGTCTAAAAAAATCATCCTGTATATGCGTACTATGAACAAAAATATTCATTTGTAACGGAGCACATTCATACAAAAATGAGAATTGCCGCAGATCTGGATCAGAAATACATTGTACATTACATTTTTTCATTAAGTGATAAGGTGGCAAACGAGCTGACAGTTCATCCGATGTAAGTGATAACCACCGCCCATTGACAATGTCGGTCATCTGTAGGCCATGGAACTTACCCGGACGGACCTGCCCATTCGTGCAACGGAGAACCACAAAAGCGCTAGACCCTACCACAGTTAAAATTACATTTACAATTACGTCTATATCTAGAGACGTATCTCGTTTGCTAGCGTATTCTCGCCAATTCATCATCACTACATAGTTTAAAACAAAGTCGTCATGCTGTCTGTCTGTCCCTATGTATGCTTAGATGTTTAAAACTACGCAAAGGACCTTGATGCGGTTTTTACTAGATAGAGTGATTCAAGAGGAAGGTTTATATGTATAATACATTGCACCCGCACGAAGCCGGGGCGGGTCGCTAGTTATTATCTAATAAAATCGAGGACCTGCGATCCTCCGAGTGGCCGGGCAGTGCGACACCTGGTTGTAGCGGCAGATGGCAGGGAACACCTCGTTCAGCCCTTTGCTCTTCAGGTGGGACTGGTCTACGCAGTGCAGGATGATGTCCATCACCTGAACAGTGAACGGAATATATGGAACATACGTCAAGTTTATGTGTGAGTCTGCATTTCTCATCATCAGGGGAGCTATCTAATTATCTGACGGGAACATGAAACAAACAGTACAGCAAGAGAATTGTCTGATATAACTCTTGTTTTGTTGATTGATTTTAGTTATCATGAAACTTCTTGTGGGGTACGGGCCTGCTCTTTACAGAGGGTATTAGGGCATAGTCTACCACGCTAACCCTCAGCAAATTGGCAGACGTCACGTAACTTCAAAATTTTTTTTTTTCTGTCTTTATTTCGAACTTATGTCAGTTCATCATGATGTTGATAAGTTGGCACTTAAAATTGCAAGTAACGATTTGAAGCCACCATCGCGGTTAGAAATCACGTTGCTCAAGTGTACTTATTAATAATGAGCGATCATGACTATATGGTCTCGTGGAGTGGTCACATCATGTGACCGTACGTGTGGTCATGGGATATAGTCGTGAGGTGTAGACGCCGTGTGTTATCTGGCATGTATTCGTGGATTTAAGTCGTGAGTGTTGTCGTCACGTATGTTGTGGTAAGTATACGTGACTTATGGTCGTGGAATGTTAATCGTGGGATGTGCTTGTGCTCTGTGGTCGTGGCGTGAGTTGTGCGCACAGTCGTGAAATGTGGCCGCCGCGTATGATCCGGTATGTATTTGTGGCGTGTAGTCGTGACATGTATTAGTGACGCGTGTTCGTGACGTATTGTCGTGGGATGTGGTCGTGACATGTATTCGAGGCGTGTGGTTGTGCGCACCTCGACGAGCAGCTCGGCGACCTCGGCGTGCATGCGGTCGATGAGCAGCTCGATGCCGCGCAGCACCTCGGCGCGGCCGCGGTGCAGCGCGAGCGCGGCGGGCGGGGGCGGGGCGCCGGCCGCGGCGGCCGCGCATCGGGCCACCTCGCGCGCCATCGTCGTTATGAACGCGCCCGGCCTGACGCGTCACACGAAGTCGGTGGACATAGACGAGACGAGTGACGTTAGTACGTTATCGCCCGTCTCTGTCGCACGGATGCAACGTCCGCCGCATTTAGGGAGCGTGACGGCGATACGTTTGCGCGGGAGCAAAAGAGGCAATAACGGGTCAACGTTAGGTCGTATTGAAGCTATCCAGCTGTAGGCAAAGGCATCTCAGTATACCAGCGATGAGTATTAGCCATATTCCAAAGAAACGTTATTGGCTGTATCTTAGCGTGCAAAGGAGTGACGACTTGTGCAAATCGACGGATGCAGGATCGTGCTTCGTCTATGCCCATGTTCAGCAGTGGGCCCTAAAAGGCTGACATGGTGATGATGATATCTTAGCGTTGGTACCTTGAGGTGGCGATCAGGGTAAGAGCATGGCGCGCGGTTCGGCAGCTGTCCGCCTGAGGAGTGAGTGGCAGACCGTACGTCATCGACGGCACCAGCTTGTCAGCGTCAGAGCACATTTCGAGTAGACCTATGTGATAAGGCGACTCGTTTAGAGGTTTACCCAACTAATATAGAATTAGTATAAAAAATGATTAGTATAAGAAACATAAACGCAGTTCTGTTTAATACATTAGTTTCTGTGCTATTTTAAATTAGAGTTTATGCTAGAAAAATTATCGCCTCGCCAAGCCCTGATTTTTTTTTTATATTGCGTCATCATTGTATATAACGTATTTCGCCATATCCGATTAATAAAGGTTATGGATTTTTATCGATTGCGATTACTATTTATACAAAAGTGTCGTTGGATATGGATAAAATGAAAAATTATCATTTCATGGCCTCTATTTAAAAATCTCCGGCTTTTTACGACGTAGACAGTTACATTTTTGAGACTATTTACCAAACCGAACCGAAACGAGGGAGAGGCCCACCCAATAGGAAGTTGTTGTTTATTTGGAGCATGTGTCCGACGATTGGTGGAAATCGAAACGAGTGAGAAACGCTCACCCAATAGGAGTTGTTGTTTCATTTAGAGTGTGCGTCCGACGATTGGTGGAAATCGAAACTATCGAGAGGCTTACCCAATAGGACGTGGCTGACGTCCAGGTAAGGCTCCCAGACGGCGAATCCCCTGCCGAGGAGGTCGACGGCGGCGCGTCTCAGCGGCGTGTGCAGCGGCAGCTTAGGGCTGCCCGGGGCTAGCAGCAGGTGCGTCAGAGCCAGGGCTGTCAGCCGCGCCAGGTTGTTCGACGCGCTCAGAGTGAACCCTGGCGGGGATGAACTCGATGTTTTTGTTATTGGAAATTTTGGAACTGGGAACTTTAGTGGTAACTTATTCACGAACTTGTGTATTGATTTTTTATGTAATGCTAGCTGCTGTAGAATAACAAGCTGGCTGAAGTCGTAACATTCAGACAGAAAGACAGATATACATAAAATATGTATATTAATTATAGCCTATGTCTTATTCTGATGTATAAGCTATATTATAGTACAGTTTCATTAAAATCCATTCAGTAGTATTTTCGTGAAAGAGTAATAAAAATCCATCCATCCATACAAACTTTCGCCTTTACAATATTGGTAAGGATAGTACTCGTAAGGATTCAACGTTTCAAAAGTACGCCAACAAACAGGTACCTGTTTTATGTATAGAAAATTCTCGTGTATCAATTTACTAATTTAGAATTCGTAATGTTTAAAGTTGACGTGAAAATCAAACAAAATCACTTCTTATCTAATCTGCAGTTATGTTAAAATTATAACATAGTTAAAATTAATTAGAAATAAAACCGTTTAAAAACTTTTATGTTAAACGGTTTTATTTTATGTGCACTGAAAACTAGAATATTGTATTGTCATCTAAATTAAATGTGTGTACCAAATTTCAGATCAATCTGACAACGGGAAGGTGCTTCAATTTCAATTTCTAATTTTGAACCAAACAAATAAATTCCGTACGGGTCGAGCTAAATAAAACCGTTTAATAAGAAAGCAAAATGCAAAGAGAAAAAGCTGAACAATTTGTATATTTTTTTTAGATAAACAGTAGGCTGATCGACCAGGTGTGTGCTAGTGTGTATATGATCGCTGTGTCATGTTTATCATCGAAATAATGGCGTCCCTCTAGCAAAATGCTTCTCTCACCTTCCACTATCGAACTCTTTCTACTGTCCAAGTCCTTGCGTCTCTTGCTGCCGGCGGCACCTAAAATTTCGCAATGAACGACAGTTTACGGCAAAACATAAGAGAATAGAGCAAAGGAAATCGGCACATATGTATATGGACAGCGCTTTCGAGCGGTTTCAATATTCTATCTAGATAGACGACATTAGTTCCTTAATACTTACGTCAAAATACTATCCCTGTTACGAAATCTACAGATAGATATAATATTAAAACCGACCGTTTGAATTAATCGACCGTTTGTTGACACACACAGCGTGGTCAAATAATTGTTTTAAACGTTTACTATACCTATTTCATTTATCAACCAACGATGAATAAGAAAGAATAATCAACCTGCTTTAATAGTTTAAGACAAAAATGTATAGTTCAAATTAATTTTTCGAAGAAAAGAGGAAAAGTTTTACGCCACTGCAGGTATCGAATCCATTGTCTTCGAGATTCGCGCCTTGACGTTTTAACCAATATGCTAAACGGCTTCTTTTTTTCCTACAAACTTCAATGTGTGGTTCAGTTTTCTTTATCGTTCCTATAAGTCCGCTACTGTGGTTTAGTAAATAAACAGGAAGCAGTATTTATTAATTAAATAGAAAACTATATAATTGTAAATAAACGACCATCATAAATTAGCATCGAGTGAATTTAAATAGGCAATTAAATGATTTATTGTTACGATTTCATCACCGATAGAGACAACATTTGAAACCAGGGCAATGGCATTTGAAAAGCTCACGATTAATATTCATATCACGATTAATATCACGTTAAATGCATTTAACATATAGCAGAAATTCCCAAATTCTCCCACCTTCACTGGCGATGTCCTGTCCAAACTCGGCTCCGATGACACCGAGCAACACCACGGCCGTTGTCTGCTTCCTCTTGAGCTCGGCAAGAGATGAGGGCTTCCTGACTATCTCCTCCTCTTCTTCCTCCGACTCTTCCTCTTGCTGGAAGTGATTGAGAGGAGTTCTCCGATAAAAGAGAACTAGTGTAACAGTTATTCATACAAAAGCACTCGCGTCTTTTAATATGTATGTAGCGAAAAATGGGAATAGATGACTTTATTGGAATAGTTGTAACCTTAAATTTTGCTATATTTTTCCTAAATAAGTTGTTGTTACAATGATATGTAAGGAATTATTCATCTTCTTAATAATATAACGTAAAACATAATGATTTATGAAAAAAAGTATGTTTATACTTATGTTTGTAAACGCACGTAAGAAGTTACACTTCTTTAGAGTAACAAAAAAAATACTAAAAATTTTATCCCCTGTGCCAGTACTCTGTTACATTAAATGCAAGTTAAGACAGTTAAAGACATTAAATGCAATTGATAACGGTTTAATTAGATAATTTGGAATTATAAGTAAATTTCAAAAAGTTGTTATTGGTTGCCATGGTATTAACGTGAACATGTTCGCTGAAAAGAAGCATAACTTCAAAAACACGTTATAGCAACGTACTAGCGTGCAAGAGCGTCAGCAAGAGTGAGGGAATGGAAGATTTAGTGAGTGAATGAATCAGCGAGTGAGTGAATGAATTGGTAAGTGCGTGTGAGTGAATGAGTGACCTTCTCAACGGGCTCCTTTTGCGCGGCGTGGGGGTTGATGCTCTCAGTGTGCGTGTACAATGGCAAAAACTGAGCCCAGTTATCGACCAGCTGCTTGCGGCCCTTCGGACCGAGTCTAGGAAAAACAAAATGTATCTTACATATTTTGCTAAAATTAATCATAAATATTTATTTCATAATAAATGTACTTAAAAATATACCACTTATGGTACTAATTACAAACTACGTTTCGTCGAGCTTTGGTTCCAAACGTGACAACGATAAGCCTGTCACAATAAATCGTAAACGTAAATGTCTATCACTGGCGAGTCAAATAGAATACATACATATATAAACAAAGTAAGAGGATTCAAATATGTAGAAAAAGTACGAAAAGATTGTCGCCGCTTTGGGAATCGAACCCGCGTCTTCGGCATTCGCGGCCTGACGCTCTAGCCACTGAGCTAAACGGCTGATAGTCACAGCGACGAAAATCTTAAGGCCTTCTTGGTTAAGAGTTAGAGGATTTGAAGTTTTGTAGTAATTTTCAATCAGGGACAATAATCAAGTCTGGCTAGTACACGAAAAAAAGTAATTCTTTGAATACGTCACCTGCCAAGTTCTGCTAACAGCAGAGCTTGCGCGGAGTCACGCACTTCTAGACACTGGTGCTGCCACCTTCGTGCCAACATCTCCACTTGCGGACGTTTGAAGTTCTTAGCACCTGGGACCAATATCAAAAACTTGCAAATGCTCACTACTCACTGCTCTCAGATCTTAGAATAAATGTCATTATTTGTAAAAAAAAAAAAAACATATTTCCATTACCTAAGAAGAATATACTAAATTTTATCGGGCAAATGTACTCCCAGTTACTCATATTATAAATAGGTCAACTTTTCAATAATGCAAAATAAAAATATATTTTAAGTATAAGAGGTGTTAAACGTGGTAGCCCAGTTCTCACGCTCGCTTTTAAACAAGACTAGTATACTCTAGTACCTGAGTTCAAACCCCGGTTCCGGCACGAATTAAATTGTTAATTGAAATTTTAAACGATGATTATATGACGGGCTAAGCGTTAAAAAAGACACCATGAGGAAAGCTACATATTTACATGTATGTGAAGTCTGCCAATCCGCAGAGAAGGCCTCTGTTCAGCAGAGACTTATTTACTTTTAATATTGGCTTAACATAAAGTGAAGCCAATATTAAAAGTAAAATACGTCTCTCTGCTGAACAGAGGCCGTGTAGCTCAGTGTTCGAGCGCTCGTCTTTATTTAATTTTTTCGAAATAAAACAAAAAAAAAAATTTCGAAAAAATATTAGTTGGGCCGCGTGGTGGACTATAGGCTGTTACTTTACTACTTTGTTCTTTTGGCTGTAATGCATTCAAAGGTAGGTAGGTGGAAGGTATGAAGTTTATATAACAGGGAGGTTCCTAGATAAGCTCACCGGCCGCGACCACTTTGTCAGGCAGTAGCACGCAGTGCAGGGTGGCTAGAAGCGACCAGCCCTGCTTGATGTGCGCCTGCTGTGCCGCCAGCTGTTCCTCTCGTTCCTCGTCACCGCCCCACGACGAGGTGCGAGTGGTAGGCCTGACAAAGAACATCACCGGGAGGAGGCATGTGATCATATGGTACAAGCGCGAAGGCCTGACAAAGGCAACACGGGATGGGGCATTGTGATCATTCAAGCGAGAGTAAGGCCAATTTAACAGGTCACAGTACAATGATTGATTGCAACAAATAATTCTTCTTTTCTTCTTTCTCCTATTCTCATCTACGGGTCGGCACAACATGTGAACGATATTGTTAACGGTATCAGCTAGGTTTTTTACGACCGGTCGCTTGTCTGACGATAAACCCATTGGGTATGAACATCCAGATCCGAAACAATTATTTGTGTGTCACGCAAATACTTTTCCCGCGTGGGAATCGAACTCACGACCGCCGGCGCCAAAGCCAACAGCTTCGCAGCTGCGCCAAACAAAGGATTTATACAATTACTAGGTACGTATATCCGAAACGAGAGTAGTGGTGACACCACACGTCACCGTTACGCTCAATATTGATGGATTGATACAATCATAACGATATTTGATGTCACGCGACGGTCAGTGGCTACGGATCAAGGAGGTAATCTTGTCTCATCTGCGGCCCTTATAAATAAAATCCGTGAGAATTTCCACATACAACTACCTTAACGCTTCACCGCCATCAGAAATAAAAGATGCAACAAAATATAAATACTATAATTATTCTCCCGAAAATAACTAAATTCATTGGTCTTGAATGTTCTTAAATTAGTTGCATAATATAGTAGAAATAGTTTGCGTTTGTTAGTAATAATAAAAAAGTAAAAAAGTATTGCTATAGTATGGTATTTGGTCATAAAGAAAACTACAAATTAAAACAAAGTTTATACACTTATAAAGTCCGTGGCAAGCCACACGGCTGTCTTAATAATTAAAATTAATACTCAATTATTACTGATCTGTTAGACGTCAGGTCTATCGCTGTTACCAATAGAGCCGTAATTGCCTTAATTAAAAGATGGCGTATGTTCGTGCGTTCATGTGTGTGAAGTATATTTGTAATCAGCTCCAATCTTTTCCGAACTGGTTCAGGTTAATGTAATTTTAAGGAGTGTGTGTGAGTGTGAATTTGACGAAGCTAGCTGAGTTTGGACTCGATCAACCCACCTGTGCAGCCGTCTGGCCACCTCCTGCTCTGGCACGAAGCTGGCGTTGCTCATTGACATCAGCGTGTTGGCCAACGCAACGATCGACAGCAGGTGATTGGTAGTAAGAGTCGTGCTGAGCTCCCAGTGCAGCTTCGATGTGAACAGCCTGCAGAGACATAGAAATGGGCCGTCTAAAATACGATTGTCAAAGTTTCATCAAGTCTAAGCTTTCTAGATCTAGAGCAGGGGTTCCCAAACTATTTTGGCAAGTGCCCTTTATCAAAATGGACTGATAACTGAGACCTGCAGAGCCAAATCACTTTAAAAATCCTATCTAGTTTTTTAAAAGAACAAAATACAAAAGTTCCTACAAAAATATAAGTCGTTCTTATAACAAGACACACGTAACAAGTTATAGGTACAGTGTCTTGAAAGTTTCAAGTAAGAACTTGTGTTAATTAATAGGGATCGCTGTATAGACTTCTTCGACCTCCAAAATCGGTTTTCTTTTGTCGGCGCCTCCGAAACCGACAAATAGAATCATTTTTGAAAACTTTAATATTTCAGAAATATGCTACTGGGTAAGTTATTTACGCCTGCCTTACGTCAACCCTCTTTGGAAAAAACACTAGATTTGAAACAATAATCTGTAGGAAGTCGACCCACAATCCCGACGCGTTAGCTAACAGTTTAGCAACTACGCCACCGCATTATTCGCGTTATTTTTAAATGAAAAAATGTTCCTATCAAACTTGTACATTTCAGAAATATGCCTATTAAAGGTTGCCGACACCTGCCCTGCGACCTTAAGAACACCAATTTACGGGACAAAGGAATAGGATTTCCTCCATTCCTTTGAGTTAGTTCAAGTTGTGGTAGGGCCACGCAACAGTCTTCGCTGTTGTACAAATGGGCGTATCCGTCCGGGTACGTACCACGACCTCACAGAAGACCGAAGCGAAGCGGAAGTGTTATAATTCAAGGCAAGAGTGAATAGGTTATTACTGAGCAAGCGCGCTTACCATCAACGGCTACATCGCCACTTACCACCAGGTGGGATGGCATTCAAGTGCAGGCTAGTTTTGAATTTAAAAAAAAAAAAAGCTATCTTGACCCCATATCACATGAGAAAAGACCTGGTGAGTTTCTCCTGTCTCAGCAGCTCTGGCGGCAGATCGGAGCTCAGGAGGGCCTGGTCGGTGGGCGCGGCGGCGGCCGCCTCCGCCCAGCTCCCGAGCCAGGTGGGCAGCTGCACCGCCATGTGGCCGTGACGGGACACCACGCCGAAGCACACGGGAACCTGTCACATTGGCAGAAATCTGTATCAACAGGAGAAAACCTATACGCTGTAGCTCACGAAAATGGTTCATATGCTACGCGTAAGGGAAGGAAAAGGCAGTTGTGATCTATGATTTTGAAACTTAATTTTTATTTTTAGTTCTAGCCTCTGCACTTAAGATGAAGCTTAAAATGCTATGATTTGAATCTACGCCTTCAGGGTTACGCACCCAGACGCTCTGGCCACTAAGTTAGGCGATCGATATCCTCAGCACGCCATCTGCTTTGTTTTTGTTGCATTTTTAACAATACTTAGCGCTATCTGACATGCTTCGTTCAAAGGAAACACACTTTGTCAAAGTAGTAATTTCCAAAAAAAAATCATAATAACTATTTAATAAAAGACCTAGAGAGGTCGCTTTTGCTATTAAAGCTTAAGACGTGTTCAATTTTCCGACAATCCATCTACACGTTTCAAGTTCTAACTTTTGATGTTACGATATTTACAGTTTAAGCCTTCGGTATTCTGCTTGCGTTCGTGGCTGCGTGTGAATAGTACGAAAGATTTGAATAGATTACATCATTTGGACTATTTCACGAACTGGATCAGGTTATAACAAGTTTGAGGGGTCTCACCATAGGGCGGAGCAGGCCCAGCTTGGACTCACAAACTCGGTCCAGATCGGGGTCAAGGCCCCAGGCGTGCAACAGCGACATCAGAATCTGGGCTATCTCCATGGTGTGCGGTGGCTCGGCCAGCGACATGTCCCGAGGGCGATTGCGCTTGTTCTGATTAATTTCATCTAGAACAACGAGTGTTCCTTTACTTCCCTTGCAATTTAGGCAATCTATGGAAATTAGGTTTAGTCGAGAAGTGATTAATGCATTCTCTCATCAGATAAAATAAATACTTTAACTAGCAAATCTTATGCTATTACACTCGAATCGAAGTGGACTTTATAAGCATCGTCTATATTTTAAATCGGATTTTTCGTACATTTTGAATTTGGAAAACTCTTCAGCACTATTTCACCTAGTATTACTTTTATTTACGAAATTGACAACAAAGATTATGAAACGCGGCCTTAATAATATTATAAATAATTACATAATACAAATATTAATATAAATGCAGAACAAATAACGAAAAGAAAAGGGCACATACATAATGTAAACATTTACTTTAAACGTAAATACACATAAATGCAGGGCCGGATTTAGAGGCCTGGAGGCCTCGGGGCAACAAAGGACTTGGCCCCAAATTATTTTCCATTGATTTCTGTTAATATTTAATAATCATGTTTGTACAAAGTACTGTGGGTAAAGGTAAAACGCGAAAAAAATATGAAAGGTAAAGTTGTTTACTAGTGTTTACTAGTCTGAATTTAATTTGTTTTTTCCAAAGTCTCTATTGTGGAGGCCCAGGGCAGTCACCCCGTTTGCCCGCCCCTAAATCCGGCCCTGCACATATGCTTCATATTTTATGTTCATAAATTTACGTTACCATATCTACATATGTATAATATATACTTAAATAAAATTGATAAGTTTACAATAGGGAACATTTATATAGTGAAGTATGGTGGGTGCTTTGCTGAATGCCCAGGCCAAGGAGTTCGAGAGTACCTACAATTTTTTTTTCTTTTTTTTTGTTTTTTTTCTTTACCTTCTTTACCTTTTCATATTAATTTTTTTTTAAAACATTGCCCTTACATTAGGATAACTTTATCCTGTGTAAGGACGTTTTACAAACATAAATTTCACGCGGACAAACACCCAGATGCGAAACAACTATCAGTGGGTCACACAAATAGTTGTCCCGTGTGGGAATCGAACTCACGACCCCCGACACCGAAGCCAATACCTTGGCCACTGCGCCACGGTGTCACCGATTGCATTTGTGGTATAAGAAGCAGATGTATTGTGTGCATGTACTAATGTGCAAATACTTATTACACAGCCAGATTACGAGTATATACTACATTCGAAATACAAAATACGCAATATCATACGTGTGAAAGCGATATTTAAAATTCAACTTAAATTCTCTAGGGAAAACGTGCAGGATCGTTAAAAATATAAAAAATACGAAAATTCATGAGATACAGAATTATTTTCGACGGTTCTGTATAGTGATGAGCCATTGAGCAATTTTTAAGTATTGTCATTGTATTTACCAAAGGCAAAAATGTGCCTCTGGACCGCCCAACTTATTGAGGTCTTAGTTTTAATCTGAGCGCGTAAAATTTATATTAATCAGTACTGGGTCAAATAATGTTTAAGTCCCTTCTTAAACAAACGAAGTTGCCAGATTTGAAGCGACGAAAATCTTAGAAAAAATCTTAAAAATTAGATTCATTAGGTGTCTCTACACGAAATGGTTCTGAATTTGTTTTTTCCTTGAAAACCTATTTTAGTAGTACCTTCGAAAGCATTGCCCCCTTACTGTAGGATTACATTATACTGTGTTGTAAGGACGTTTTACGTACATAAATTTCAAGCGCACAAAAGCTAAGATCCGAAATAGTTATCTGTGGTTCACACCAATATTTGTCTGGTGTGGGAATCGAGCTTTGGCCATTTTGTCGAAAATATATTCCAATTGTAAAAAGTGACCTAATGTTCTTTAAAAAATGTAGCAATATAATTTAGGTACATTGTTTTAATTCATTTCAAAGTTCGAGCGCTCGCCTAGTTAAGTAATCGGCGATCGGTATTCCAATAAAAAATTATATCGAGATTTATTTAATTAATTACAAGGTGTTAAACTGTATGACAATTTGGAATGGAATGGACTGATTTATAATTACAAAAACTTATGAACTAAAACTAATGGTGTCAGCGTTCCTTCGATGCGCCTTCGCCGTGCTGAGTCTGCAGTAATCGCGGTTATGACGTGCTAACTCCTCCCTCCTTAAGATAGAAGCGAGAGTTGGAGCTTCTAGCAGCGTCCTCGCTGCTGTTGCTATCCTGTGGTAGTCTATTGGTTTTCCACTTGTACAGCTTCCAGATGGCCGCTACACTCAGCAGCCCGTATAGTATTAAAGTTGTCCAGCTGGGGGTTGCCATCAGGGTTGTCCAGTTGGATTCATCTTGTGGGATTATGTCATCTATCTTGTTGATGAGTTTGTGGATGCTGTCTAATGAGATATCCTCTTGATGTAATTCAAACTTGATGTGTTCTTGCGTGATTTGCTGTGCCTCAGGAAGGGGGATGGTTTCGTCGTTGAAGACTGTTCTCAGGTGGGTCTGTAGTGTGCTATTCAGGACATGCATCCGACAATCTTCAGTGAGTGTGACTATGAACGTTCCTTTCGTCTTTTTGTAGTCTGTCTTGGTGCCACACTGGATTTTGATAATTTCATCATCTTGCAGGATCAGTATCCAGCTGTTATCCCGGATTTTCTGGATTTTTCCTTTGGTCAGGTGCAGCTTGGCATACGTGCAATTGGCTTTCTGATGTTGAACTAGCGACGCTATGCAATCTTGTGTGTTTTTCATTCTTCTGACTTCCAGGGATTTGCAGAGATGAGTGTCATCGGTGATTGGTTGGCAGTCTTCTTCCTCGATGTGGGCGTACTCATCGCTACCAAGTGCAAGGTATTTGGACTTCGGGATTATAGTTAGGTTGTTGCGGTCAGGAATGGAGTAAAGGTGAATAAAATCGTATATTTTTGAATCAACAGAGGGGATTTCCAGGATAACGTTTTATTGAGTATGGTGTACTATATGCTTTAACCTTTATAGATTTCTCTATCTTATGTATATTTATAATATTTATCTCATCTACTGGATTCATTGAATAATGATTACGCAAAATTACTAATTCTTTAATAAGATTTTGTGGACCAATAACGCTTGGATGCATAGTTCCTAATTGAGCGAACGTGACGGCATCTTCCAAAGTCATTAACTTTTCTAAAATTATTTGTAAACTTAAGTCTATCTGTAAATATATATCTAATAAATGTAAACTGTCCCTAATTCCATTAGAGTTTTGCGTTATATTTTGTAATATCTTAACTACATATTTCTGATTTTCCTCTAATTTACTTATTTGACTGCCGAATTCATTGATCATACTTTTTGCTAATATTAAGGATTTCTTTTGTGAATTTTGAACTATATTAACCTTGTTACTTATATCTGAAATTTCTTTCTCGAATTTAACAGCATCGTCATTATCTAAGTTGCCGGTTATTGTTTTTACGATTGTACCTAATCCGTTTATTATTCCGCGCTTTACTCTAACTGGGGGAATCAAATATGCTAACTTCTTATTTATTAAACTTATACTATATAATATTTGATCCTCGTAGGACTTATATCTATAACTAGATGTTAGGGTATTTTCAACATCTTTAGTGCTTGCATATAATGCCATTACTTTAATTGTTGCTAACTTTATGTTTGTTATGTTATACACACAAGCTAGGCTAAAGTAGTCGGTCTGTCTAAGTAACTGTCCCTGTTTGAGTAATAATATGCCATTATCGTTACTAATGGGATCAAGGGTCACTTTTGCGGTTGCGTAGAGCACGATGGCTCCTGCGACGATGATCCTGGAACAAGATGAGGCCTACGTAGTAGCTTGAAGTGAACTCTTATAGACTTTGAATTTGGGTGACTACCTATGATCTCTGCGATACTATTGGGGTGTAGATGGATTACCTTATAGGGTCCTTTGAAGACAGGCTTCGTCTTGTCATTCCGCGCTGTCTTTGCTACCTGCTTATAAACTATTTCACCTACCTTGAATGATACTTCTTCGGCATCTCGGTTTCGTCTTGCGATAACCTGTTCTTTATTACCGGACATGTAAGCTGCAACACATTCCTGTATCGCTTCTGCGTTTGTTCTGTGTTTGAGTACATAATCCTGGTAGATTTCCTTGGGGAAAAACATTTCTAATGGGTTTCGAGATGCTGTGTGACCAAATAGTAGTTCATGTGGTGTATAGCCTGTTGCGGAATGTATCGCGTTATTATATCCTATGATCGCGTATTTCATAATAGATTGAATAGGATCTTCTTTGTTAGTCATTCTTTGTATACGGATAATCTCGCCTAACGTAGAATGTAGACGTTCTACTGGAGAATTAGAGTTCGGGTTGTATGGGGTGGTAAAATGTATGTTAATGTCATGTAACGCGCAGATCTCTTTAATAACATCGTTATCGAATTTACTATCTGAGTCGGTTGTAATTTTATGGGGTAGGCCTAGTACAGATATGACTTGCAGAAGTGCTTCGGCTACATGCACACTACTACATGCGTTTAATGGTACCGCTTGAGCATATTTTGAGAAATTATCAATTATTGTTAGAAATGTTCCACCGCCTGTCGAATACAAGTCCATAAATAGATGTTCCATAGGTTTTCGGGGTGTTTCTGTGAGGGCTAATGGAGGTCTTAGTGGGTTCCGTTCGTACTTTGATTTTAGGCATATATCACATTCGTTTATGTATCTCTGGATGGTTAATAGCATATGCGGCCAATGGTAGTTCCGATGAACTTGTTTGTAAGTCTCCTGAATACCACGGTGAACTGTTTTGCCTTCGTGATATTTTTTAATTAGCTCTAACTGCTCGGCTTTACTCTCTACTAGCGTTACACGTGACGTACATTTGATGAGTTTGGGGCCTCTATTATTAAATACGGTAGTATAAAACTCTCGAAAAAGCTAAGTATAAATTTTCGTCATAGAAATAGCAATGAAACGTCCGGTCTGCTATGGTATGTTCCTTGAGGAATTTAATAATTTCT